TTCACTGGCTTCTTGACTTGTCTGCCACTTCGAGTTGTGTACAGGGTCGAGCCCCCAGTCGCTGCTACTTCAGGTGAAGGCGGTATCTTTCTTGCTGGGCTTTTCCTTGTGACTGACTGGTCTGACTGGTAATCTAATGGTAGCTTCTCCATACGTGTGTCTGGCATGGGTGGTGGCACTGCATGCGGCACTACACGTGGTTTCTCAGGATCTGTCTCTGCCTTCTCGATGTTTGCATGACAGCTCTGATACTTTGCATGTGACTTGGGGGAGTCTGTTCTTAATGCCACTCTATTTCGTCTGATTCTTCGGCCCCCTACATCGACTATATAAGATCTGGGTTATGTATGTTGTTGCACAACCGTCGCTGCTTTCCATTCCTTTGATCCCGTTGTGGGTTTCGCTCTAACAAAATCACCAGGCTTAAGCGGGGGTAACTCTTTAGTACCTCGGCGATCATGGTAGTATTTCTACTTTTCTTTGCCATACTTCATTCTTGCTCTTATCTCTTTGATGTCGTGTGCCTCAGGCTCTAGCAGACCACAAGCTAGTGGTAGTGTCGTCCTCAGCCTACGTCCCATGGAGAGTTGAGACGGAGAGAGGTTGATCCCTTGGGGTGGCTCTGTACTCCAGAAGTGCTTTGTTCTTGTCGTTGTTTTTCTTCCAAAGTGATTTTACTGTTTTGACTGCTGCTTCTGCTTCTCTATTTGCACGGGGGTACTTGGGACTCACTAAGACATGTTCAAAGTTGTAGCTTCTGGCAAAAGTCTCAAATTCTTTGCTTGTGTATTGGACACCGCAGTCAGTCACCAGTTTTGCTGGAATACTATGTCTGCTGAAATGTTCCTTCAGTGCTTCGATGGTATCCTGGGAAGTAAGGTCATTGAGTTTAGTTACTTCAATGTACTTGGAGTAATAATCAACCAGTACCAGGTAATGACGACCTTCAAAGGCGAAGATGTCTGAAGCAGCCATCGCCCATGGCAGATTCGATCCAGGACTTGGCATGAGGGGCTGTTTCTGCTGTGCAGGCGCGTAGTTGTGTCACAGAGTACAGTCTTTTACTTTGTCTTCTATTTGAGCGCTCATTCCAGGCCAATAAAGCGCTTCCCTGGCCCTCTTTTTGCACTTCACAATTCCAAGGTGTGTTCCGTGTATTAAGGCGAGCATGGCTGGTCTCATGGACGGGAGTACCGCAATCTTCATCTCTCTGTCGATTACACCATCTAAAACTGCAAGTTCATCACGTGACTCCCAGTATTCTCGTATGCTGTGTGGGACCTGTCGTTTTGTTTCTGGCCACCTTGCTCGAATCATAGCGTACAGCTCATGGAACTCGTTTGCAGTTTTTTGGTGGAGTTCTGTATACTTTGGCTCTGAAATGGATATTCTTTCCAGCACGTTTACTTGTATCTCATCTTCGTCCGCTTGTAGTTCATTCAGACTTGCTCGGCTAATGGTATTAGCGAGAACTTGCTTCTTGCCAGGAAGATACCCCACTTTTAAGTCATAATCGCTTACTTTCAGCATCATTGCCTGTAATCTTAATGGTGCCGTTGCTATTGGTTTGCGAAAAATTGTCTCTAGGGGCTTATGGTCGGTCTGAAGCACTGTCGTTTTGCCTAGAATGTACTCTCTAAATTTCTGTGTACTGAACACAATTGCCAGCATTTCTTTCTCAATTGGGGCCCAGTTGATTTCAGATTCTCGAAGTTTGCGA